TGCTTGGCTTAATTCACTTAACATAATTTTCTCCAAGCTTATCCATGTTGCTGCAAGTGGCAGAATTTCAATCTTTTTTGTGGCTTAATAGTATTCCATCATGTATATATACCACATTTTCCTTATCCAGTTTTCTGTTGATGGGCATTTAGTTTGGTTCCATATGTTGGCTATTGTAAATAGAGCTGTGATGAACATGGGAGTGCAGGTATCCTTTTGACATGATGATTTCCATTCCTTTGGGTGTATACCCAGAAGTGAACTTTCTGGATCATATGGTAGTTCTATCTGTAGTTGTTGGAGAAACCTCCATACTGTTTTCCATAACATACTGTTTTCCGTAATATGAAAAAATGCTCAGCATCATTAATCATCAGGGAAATGCAAATCAAAATCACATTGAGATACTATCTCACCCCAGCTAGACTGGCTGTTACCAAAAAGGCTGAGAATAACAAATGCTGGCAAGGATATGGAGAAAATGGAACTCTTGTGCACTGTTGGTGGGACTGTAAATTAGTACAGCCATTACATCTTTTCATTTCTTAAAGGTATCTTTTGAAGAACAGTTTTAAATGTTGATTAAGTTCAATATATCAAGTGTTATATGGTGCAGGCTTTTTGTATCTTATCTAAGAAGTCTTTGTCTACCCTCCAAGGTCATGAAGACTTTTTTCTATATTTTCTTCTAGAAACTTCATTGTTTTAGCTTTCACATTAGGTTTGTTATCCATTTAGAATTATTTTTTTTCACATGGGTAGTCAATCATTCTAGCACCATTTCTTGAAAAGACTGTCCTTTCCCTATGGAATTACCTTGCATCTTTTTTGAAAATCATTGACTATGTAAGTATAAGTCTCTTTCTGAATGCTATTCTGTTCTGTTGATTTGTATCTACATATTTACCAGTTCTACAGTCTGTATCGGTATAGTTTTATTATAAGTTTTGAAATCAAGTAGTGTAAGTCTTTCTACTTTGTTCTTTGAGAAACAGATTTTTTGTTGACACATGGAGGTCCTACATATCTTTGGTTATATTTATTTTTATGTATTTTATGTTTTGTGGTGCTATTCTAAATAGAATTTTTAAAATTTCATTTTCCAGTTCACTGCTAGTAAAAATACAATTGATTTCTGTATCCTATGCCTTTTTTAAATTCACTTACTATTCCTTAATTCACTTATTACTTTTAATAGTTGACTTTTGTAGTTTCCCTTGGGTTTTCTGCAAGTAGAGGCATTTACTTCTTCCTTTCTGATCTTTATTCCAATTTTTTTCATGACCTTATTGCAATGGCCAGTACAGTGTTGAATAGAAGTGGTAAATCAGGTATCATTTCCTCTTTCTGATCTTAGGGGGAAGTAATTTGGTTTGTTACCACTAAGTATGATGAAACTGTGTGTTTTTCAAAGATTTCCTTTATGGGATTGAGTAAATTCTCTTCTAGTTCTTACTTGCTGAGAGCATTATGAATAGGTGTTGAATTTTGTGTTTCTTCTGCATATATTGGGACAATCATATGTTTTTCCTCCTTATTCTGTTGATGTTTAGAATTATAGTGATTTTCAAATGTAAAACCAACAAAAATGCTTTATATATTGTATTTATATTGTATATGCCTGAAAGTTTTTTTGTGGCTTAAAAGAACAATTTATTATCTCTCACTGTTCTCTGGGTTGATTGTGCTCATCTGGGCAGTTCCCTCTTAGGATCTCTCATGCAGTTGCAGTCAGATGGCAGCTGGGCCTAGAGTCATCTGAAGGCTTGAGTGGGCTGGATGGTCAAGATAGCCTCTTCACTCACTCTGCTGGGATGGCTGGGACAGCTGGTTGGGGGCTGGCCCCCTCTCTCCATACAGCTTCCCCATGGGACTAGTTGGCTTTAACACAATGTGGCAGTCTCACGGTAGTGAGATTTCCTAAATGGTAGCTGACTTCTCTCAGAGTGAGCATTCTAAGACATTGCGTTTTTTTCAGGCAGATAATTTATCTAGCCTAGTTTTACAAACTAAGAAGTAAGTTAAATGCATTGGGGCAGTTATTGTAGAAACTGCCTAGTAAGAAACATTAAAACAAAAAAATTTTTAAATTAAAATTAAGTTTATTTTTTTAATTGAGGTAAAATTAACATAAGATTAGCCATTTTAGTATATACAGTTTAATAAATTCATAAATGATGCACATCCACCATCTCTATCTAGTGTCAGAGCATCACCCATATCTGTTCAGCAGCTCTTCTCCATTTCCCGTTCTCCCCAACCCTTGGCAACCATCAGTCCTGCTTCCTGTCTTTATTTCTCTATTCTGGATCTTTCATATAAATAGAATCATACAATATCAATATGTAGGTTTTTGTTGCTGGCTTCTTTCACTTAGCATAATGTTCTCAAGGTTCAGCCAGATTGTAGTATGTATCACTACTTCACTCCTTTCTATGTCTGAATAGTCAGTTGTTATGTATATACCACATTTTATTTATCCATTTACTCATTGATTGACATTTGGGTTTTTTCCACCTTTTGGCTATTGTGAATAGTGCTGCTGTGAACATTCATGTACAAGTGTTTGTTTGAGTACCTGTTTTCAATTCTGAGTAAATACCTAGGAGTGGAATTGCTGGGTCATATGGTCATACTGTGTTTAACTTTTGAATGACTGCCAAACTGTTTTACACAGCTGTTGTACCATCTTACATTCCCACCATCCATGCAGGAGGGTTCCAATTTCTCTGTGTCTTTGTCAACACTTGCTATCTTCCTTTCTTTTAATTATAGTATCCTAGTGGGTGTGAAGTGGTATCTCTTTGTGGTTTTGGTTTACATTTCACTAATGACTAATGACATTGAGCATTTTTTTATGTTCTTGTTGGCCATTTATATGTCTTTGGAGAAATGTCCCTTCAAGTCCTTTGCCCATTTTTAAACTGTGGTGTTTGTTTTTTGTTGTTAAGTTGTAAGAGCTATTTATATTTTCTGGATACCAGATCCTTATCAAATATATGATATGTAAATATTTTTTCCCATCCTGTAAGTTGTCTTTTGACTTTCTTGATGTCCTTTGATACACAAAAGTTTTAAGTTTTGATGAAGTTCAATTTATCTTATTTTTTCTTTTGTTGTTCATAGTTTTAGTGTTATATCTAAGAATTTAGTGCTATATCCAAGGTAAAAAAAGGTTTACACCTGTGTATTCTTCTAAAAGTTTTATAGTTTTTGCTCTTATTTTTATTGAGTGAATTTTTGTATATGGTGTGAGGTAGGGTTTCAGCTTCGTTCTTTGACATGTGGATTCCAGTCCTAGAGCACCATTTGTTGAAGAGGCTGTTCTTTCTCCATTGAGTGGTGTTAGTACCTGTGTTGAAAATCTGTTGGTCATAGATGTATGAGTTTATTTCTGACCTCTCAATTCTATTTCATTGGCTTATGGCTATCCTCATGGTGGTACCACACAAGTTGATAGTTTTTACCTGTAGTATATGTTAATATAGTGTATTAATTTTTTTAAGCTTTGTTTACAGGAAATTTTTCTTGAAACTTTGGGTAAGTTCATTAAAGAAAATAATTTCTCAAAGTGTAGATTTATAACAAATACATGCTAAAACTTAATGGATAGTTTTATTTAAAACTTTTTGGTGTGTTTTACCATTTTTCTGACTGCATACAGAATAGTGATATAGATATACAGTATATCAGGGTGCATTGTAATTTAATTTTTACTGTGAGTTAAATTTACCTTAAACCTTTAAATGAAGGACTAATTACATAAGTGCATCCTGCCAAAAGATGTGATGGTGCTGGCTGTAGAAGTACCAGAAAAGAAACAGCTGTCTTCAGATTTGGACTATGCATCACATCAGGAAGGAGTCATATATCTATAGTTTCTGGGGAAAAAGTGGAAACTGCTTTTTTTAAATGGAGGTCATAGGTTTTAAGTTTAATCAACACAACAAAAGTTTTAGTACTTTAGAATCAGAATATGATGTGCCTTTTAAGTCTCTTTTAATCTCTAACGTCTCTCTTTCTCTGTTTTTTCCTGTAGTAATTTATTTGCTAAAGACATTTGAGTTTGTACTTTTGTTTCCCACAGTCTGGCTTTTGCTGATTGAATCCTTGTGGTGGAGTTTAATACATTCCTCTGTGTTTGGTGTTTCCTGTAAATTTGTTGTTGGATATTGGAGGATGTAGTGACTTGATCAGATTTAGATAAAAAAAATTTTTTTGTTATATGTTCACTTTATAGGTGATTGTGTCATCCATCAGGAGGCACGTGATACCTGCTTCTCTCTTTTTGTTATGCTAGCTAAGTTTATTTTGATTCACTTTAGTTTTAACAATTCAAAAGGTTTATATAGAGACATGGTGGTATAGAGCTTAAGATATGGGCTCTAGAGTCTAAGAATCTGGGTTCAGGTTTTGATTCTTTACCTACTAGTTCTGTAATCTTGCAAAGTTTCTTTCCCTCTCAGTGTTAAGTTTCTTATCTGTGAAATGAGGATGACGATGCCTACTCTTAGGGTCATTTTGAATGTTAAATGAGATAATGCATGGAAAAGAGCATTGAGCAGGGCCTAGCATATAGTAAGGGATAAATAAACATTAGTTATTGTTGTTTTGTGAATTTAAAAATATTCTGAAATAAACTAAAAGCTAGATGATCTCTATTTGTAAGAGAGAGAGTTAATGTTTGGATAGTTAAGTTTTTGGCTCACCTGGGTTTATTTTAGAGAAAAAGTAAATAAATTATTCAATTAAGGAGCTCTCTTTTGTCTCCATCAATGTGAACAGTTATTTTTAGTAACCATTAATAATAAGCTTAAGTTCAAAAGTGATTTCTGCTCATGCTTCAGATTTGGTGTGTATTCATATTAACTGGCCCCACCTAATGTAGGCTCCTTGTTGAGCCGACTGTACTGTAGCACGTTTTATGCTTGAAGTCCACTGAGAAATACTTTTCTTTTTCATAGGGAGTTTACCGTTAATGTTTTTATTTTACAGTGTAATGTTCAAGCCCAGAAATGCCTTATGTGGATCGCCAGAATCGCATTTGTGGTTTTCTAGACATTGAAGAAAATGAAAACAGTGGGAAATTTCTTCGAAGGTACTTCATACTGGATACCAGAGAAGATAGTTTTGTATGGTACATGGATAATCCACAGGTTTGTAAAATCCAAATGGTTACCTTTTAAAAGCATAGGAAAGTTTTGTTTATTTAAACATTTGACATATAATGCAGGCTTTAGGATTTAACTTCCTAAATAGTATATATCCAGATTTATTTCCACTGGCTCCACTTTCCCTGCCCTGCACTCCAGACCCCTACTGTCTTGTTTGAATTTCAGAAGGTGAAACTAAGTTTATTTGGTAAAAAATTTATGCCTGTATATATGTTTTTTTTCTCCTTGAGAGAGAAATGCTATCTCTGGTGGAAAATTTTTATTTAGGTTGAAGATATGGTTGTCTAGGATGGAGACTGCTGTTGTGATGAATAAACTACTTACACTGCTTAATATACTTGCTCACGTGTATATGCAGTCATTTCATCTGGCAGTGTCAGACTTGAGTGTCAGTATTGTAGTGACATTCCATGAACTGAAATGCATTTTGATTTTATTGTTGTCTTGCAAATCATTAGGGCAAATGTCATACATTAAAAATTAGAATCCCAGTTTTAAGATCTGCAAGACACCTGAGGTTAAAGATCATCTGTTGAGTAGTTTTAAACTTTACCTGTGGATCTCTTTATCTTTAAATAAAAATTGTGATGAAAGTTAAAAATGGAGATGTATGTTGCAAGGAAGTATGTGCAAAGCAGTGGTTGAATCCCTAGCAAACTTCCAGCTGAACTTGTCCAGGGGGCTTCTTGTGCAGGTAAGGAACATACAGTCTATGGAAGAATAGGGACTTGTAGGAAGTTCCATTCTGCTTCATAGAACTAGATCCCCTGATAACTAGTCTAATATTCTTCACTACCCTATACTGATTTTAGATTAGACAAGATACATATGCTATTGTGTGTATGATTGCTTATATAGAATTTGAGTTGTAAGAGACCTTACTATTAATTCAACTTCCTCCTCAATGCAAGAAACCCATCTATCCCTGGTCTTTATTTTAGCTGTTGTTTGAACTACACATTACTAAAATGTACTTACCGTATTTGGGGCAGCTTCGATTATTGTTTTTTTGTGACTTAAAATGTAGTTCCTTGTATCTTCTACCTATCAATCCTACTTTTGCCCTCATCTCATAACAACCCTGATAAAGAAAGAAAATTAGTTTAATTTACCTTTCCTTAGGGAGCCACTTCTTCCTCTGATCACTGCTTTCCTTGCCACTAACCATTGGTTAAAAAATCTATTCCAGTGTATTACTAGGGATCAGTTTGGGGCTTTCTGTGTATTGTTGAAGAGGTTAGTAATGGTGGAGAATTAAATAATTAAGTAGCTGTAGTAGGAAGTAAATTTGAAGAGACTTAGAAAAGTATTTGGCAAAATGAGTTCAGGAACTCAAATAACAAATGGCTTATTTCCATTTTTATCTTAAATGTCATATTAGTTTATTATTTCTTGTTCATTGTCAAGTAAAAAGTTTTGAAACCCATTTTTTTCCAGTTGAACTTGATAGCATTCATGTTGGTCCATAGAAACTGGGATATTTTAAATATTCTTTATCTTCCATCCACTTATATTTCCCTGTACTGTTCTACTATATAATCTTTGACCCTTTATGTCATGCTTTGGTTTCTCGTTTCTTCCCCACACAAAGGCTTAGAGCTCTATTCAGCTAGTTAAAATAATAGACGATGAAAGACTTAAAAGAAAAAAAAAATCTTGAATGGAAAGGTAACAGTATTTGAAAAAAATCACTTTGGTAGTAAGGGACTTTTGAAGACATTTTTGCATTTCATTTCCTTATCCAAAATTAAAAAAAAAATATATATATATATATATAAACCTCTATACATAAAATATATGTAAGAATACAACTAACCTTTTAAAGTCACACATTAAAAATTATAATTTTACTTTTCATATATACTTATTATTTATATTTGGAAGCTTGTACATGGTATACAGCTTAAAGCAAACATAAAGCAGTTTTACTATACATAGGAGTGAAAATTTTGAAAAGCCCTGTCCCTGTCAATAATAACCAGTTCGTGTTTGGGAATCTTAAGTCTTTGAAATGTCTAGGCTTCCAGCAAGCTTATAGAGGTCTGAGAAAGTTACCTCCTAATATTTATTAGAACAAGTCCATAGATTTTTAAAAATATATATACATTATTATAAAGTCAGTTAAAAAGTTGGTCCTGCTTAATTTCTAGCAGAGGTCATTTTAAAAATCAAGGTTGTCGGGCCGACCCCGTGGCGCACTAGGGAGAGTGCGGCACTGGGAGCGCAGCGATGCTCCTGCCATGGGTTCCGATCCTATATAGGAATGGCCGGTGTGCTGACTGGCTGAGCGCGGTGCGGGCGACACCACACCAAGGGTTGTGATCCACTTACAGGTCACGAAAAAGACAAAAAAAAAGAATCAAGGTTGTTTTAGTTTTACTTTTGAAATTTTCTGTCAGTCTTTTCATTTATATTTTTTTATTACTTTTTCCCAGATTCTTTTATCTGGTTTTCTTTCCTCTGTTTTTTCCCCTCTATAATGAATTCAATTTATTATATTATGTGTTAATTGAAGTATAATTTTGATTACAGATCTGCTCACAAGCCTTCTTCATTGGTTTCCAATTCTCAGCAATATAAATTCCTTGCTACTTTGTTTTTTATTTAGGTCCTCTATGATTAGATTCTCTGTTTAAGTTCCCCAACTACTGTTTTCTGCTACAATCCTGTATGACACTATGACAGCCCAGCTCAGCCATTATCCCATCCTAGTATGGGGCTTCTGTGTACCCTCAACTGCTTTTTGTAGCTTGATTGTTTTCTGTGCTTGGAATGTGCTCTCTCCTGCTCTTTGTGTTTCAAAATTTTCCTTTTAAGTCTAGCTTAAATGTTGTTTGTTCCTTCAGAGTCTTTCCTGATAGCTTGAGCCAGAAATGGTTCTTCCTCCTCATAATTCTTTACGCTTAGCTCTTTTGTGACACAAACCACATCCAAAACTTGTTAAAGGAAGAATAAAAATATTTTGTCTGAAAGTACCAATATATACATTCTCTGCATATGATTTAAAGAGAATCAATAACTTTTTTTGAAAAGAAGTATCACTGTAGATTAAATATGGTATAACAAACACTAAACCATTTAAAAGGGGGAAAGTTCAATCTATTTTTCTCAAGAAATATATTTGAGTAAGAAATTTTAATGGAACAAAGTAATATGTATAATCTTTTAAAATTTCTTAAAATTGTGTTTATTTTATGTCTCTAAATGTTTTTTCCCGATGCTTTCAGGAACAAAATTTGATCGTGTTTATGGCTTCTTCAGTTCATGAAAAAAGTATATTGGTTTAGCTATGATGAAAAAAATAGCTTTTTCATAGTTTTAGAATGCATTATAATGGAACAGAGTAGGATTCAGTCTTGTTATCCAAGTTGTCAACTTGTCAACTTGATTTCAGCTTTATTTCAAACCTACTAAATACTTGAACTGAAAAAAGTTGACTTGTAAAATGTGATATTAAAAAAATCTAATTTTTTAACTTTTTTAGTATATCTGGAACATTACATTATAAAATAAATATGTAATGGTGGGTATTAACTATGCATTAATGATTTGTTTCCAGAACCTGCCTTCTGGATCATCACGTGTTGGAGCCATTAAACTTACCTACATTTCAAAGGTAGTCTTTATATGTTGTCTTATATTCATGCATGAAGTAAAATCCCTCAGAATGGGATTGTGAATAGAAGTAGCAGTTTCTTTCCCGGAAACTGATGTTCAGGTTCATATCATGCTGAAAACAGTACCTGACTACTATGTTTAGGAAGTGCTTTAAATTGATAAAATTAGGAAGAATGTGAATTTAATTTACAGGATGTAGCAAATTGCAAAAGTTAACATTAACTTTTATGACCAGGTATATGAACATCAGAAAGGGAGCAATCAGTTAGCAATCAGGTTCTATCTTGAGAGAGTCTGGAGAAGATTTTTTAAGTCAGTATCATGTTCTTTTAGACTGTTTACAATTTTTAAATCCTATTGCCTTTGATATTTTGTTTCTTTGTTTTATGTTAAGGAAAATGTGGACTATCTTTATGTTGAAAGGATGATTTTTTTCCCTTTTCATTTTATGTCCATCTCTATTATTTTATGTTTTCTCGTTTGTTGATTTGTTTGGTATTTTTGCAATATTATTTTTCTTTTCAAAGTTTTTCAAAAGTTTTCAAAAAGTTTTTTTCTCATTTTCTTTTATTAATGTTTTGGGAACTGAGATTGAGATGCTAAGGTGCTAGCCCTGTGGGTTTTTTTGTGTTTTACACAAAAGCAATAAAAGTTTGCTAACTACTTAAAATATGAGATTTAAAAGGTAATAACAGTATTATTAAATAATATGTGTACTGTTATGCATATAATATGATCTGTTGGCAGAGGTGGACCACTTTAACAAGACCAATTGACAAATATGCCTCTATTTAGAAGACAGATATTTTTATAAATAAAATAGTTATCAGTACTGCAATAGAGCTATTTATTCTTATTAACAAAAAAACTTAGATCCTGGGCAATAAAGATTACATATTTAAAATGAAACATTTAAAAGTCTGATGTAAATTTACAAGAGACAAATATTGTTTAAGCTTACTTCAAGTGTTTCTATAAATTAAGACATTTTAAAAAATGCTTCAGGGTAGTTCGTGTCTTAAATTCTGTGGAGATTATTATTAGGAAACATAGAATTCCATTGTAAAATAAACTTTAGACCCCCAGTTTGCTTGATTGCCTATAGTTCATGTGTAATGTAATGTCACGTAAATATACTGCCAAGCATTTTTTACTCTCAACAAAGTGATGTGGGAAGCCTATTTTATTGAAATAGGCAGTTGAGGGCAAGATTGCCCAACCACCTATATCTTTTAAATTGTTCATTGCCTGGTCTTTTTAAAAATGGAGCTCTTTCCTGAAATAAAGTATTAACTCAGTAAAGTAGGTGGGGTGATCGGCCAGCTGCTTTCCCCTCCTTCATTGCTCCTCTTTTCAAATATAACCTCTTTGCTGTGCAATTCTGTCCACTTTCATCCCTGTCCTACAGCTCACTGAAGTTTGAATTGTACAGTTTGTACTCTACTTTAGACATGCCACTTTTTTTCCAGAATTTATTTCTGGTACAAACTTCAGTGTGACTCAGAGCTGCGAATTTGTAGTTGGGATCAGTCAGGAACCCCAAACTTAGAATTCCTTTAGTAGATACAAAACAGATGCTACAGTTATGAGCTCTGTCCCTGGGCAACAGCATAGCAATAGTCATGAATGGGCTTCCAAGAGCTACTTCCTTTAAAGGGCTAGCAACAACCAAGTGCAGCTAGTTGCTTTGCCTTCTGAAATGAACTATGTGCTGCACTTAATAAAATGACCCCCTTGTACTGTATCTCCAGTATAAGAGAGGATCGAGTACCATTTTGATTTCCTCATAGCAGATTAGTGCTTTCTGAATTTTTGGACTTTAAATACAGTCTCCCACTTACCACCATTTTTGCTTACAGTTCAGAGCTGATTTAGAAATATGCAATTTGGGAAGAATTCATAGTTTGTGTATTTGTTGAGGGTATTTTGAAAATTATGTTAAACTAGAAATATTTATATGTGTGACATAAAACCTAATGGTTTACTTTCAATTTCTTCACATTTCTTTGAAGAAAAAACAAGTTTGTTCAAAGAAAACATGGATGTATCATTTGTTTTAAACATATCACAGTTGGGACGGACCCAGATTCTATGTTTAATTTGCTGTTCTTTTTCACTTGCCTTTAAAGTTTAATTTTAGATGTATATGCTAAATGTGCATGATTATTAGAAAATCATACGTGTGAAAGTTTACTCACTAGATCAGGTTGGTAGCATATGAAGAAGTGAGTAACTCATCTCTCTTTTTCTTGTTAGGTTAGCGATGCAACTAAGCTAAGGCCAAAGGCTGAGTTCTGTTTTGGTAAGTGTCATATTTTATTTCAGTTATTTTAAATTAGACTGATATAATTACATCATATTATAAAAGAAAATAGTCACAGAAAACCACACAGAACAAACCTATGGCTTAATGAATTATTCTAAAGTGAATTCCCTTGTAACCATCATCCAGGTGAGGAAATAAAACGTTGCCACCCATCCCCCCTCCCACTCCAAGCCTCTTTCCTGTCACAGCCTCCTTCCTCCACCCATATGTAACCATTATTATGACATTTATAATGATCACCTCCAGTTAAATTATAGGTAGTTTTTAACTTTCTACCTTATGTTACTCTGTATCAAATACATAAATAATGAAAAGGAAGGATTTGGTCTTCAGCTTGTGGGTAATGAGAAATCTACAGTTTGGGGGTAGGAGTAGGTGAGGGTATCAGGTTAGTTTGTTCAACAAATGTTTAGTGGATGCCTAGTACTTGCCAGACACTGCTTGGCACTGGGGCTGTGAAATGATTAAGCAGCAGTTGCTGCTCTTAAGGATCTCACAGGCTGGTTGTCTCACAGGCAGATGCAAAACCAAGTCCTTATCATTGCACTTATCACTATTAGTAAAGAGAGGGGTGTACCATCTATTAAGGAAGCACAAAGGATGAGCTTCAAGTCTTTGTTGGGGAGCCACACTGGATGAGAGACACTTGAGTTGGTGGCCTGTTAAACTCCTGATCATCCTTTGCCACTGGGGATAAAGGTGGGAGGAACACTTGGACAGAGGTGTGCAAGGGAGAAAGGCGTGGAGTGTGTGGAACTGAAGCTGGAGGGAATGGTGAGAGGCTGAAGAGGAAAAAGGCAGGTGGAAGTCAGGATGCATTGTGTTGACAAGCAAAACATTTTTTATTTTGAAAAAGGGAGGAGAGAAAGTTGAGAGCATCTAGAAAGCAGGCATAAGACGAAGGGGGCTTGTTTGTTTTGCTGTATGGGTAGGAGAATCTTGATGCAGGTAGATTAGTTGAGTGGCCCTCGAACTGCTATACTTATGTAAGGGCCTGAATCAGGGTAGTGGCAATGGGAGAAAGAGGAAGGGCGAAAAACATTAGAAGGAAAAGTGCAGGGACTAGATGGCTGGATATGTGAAAGTTGAAGGGAAGAGAGAGGTAGCAGGGAAGTTTGCTTCAAGGAAAGAAATTAGGAATTGGGAGAGCTGATTGATAGGGTAAAATATTTGGTAAGGAGTTTGAAATGGTGGGGGAACTTACAAATGGAAATGTTCTGGTGACAGTAATTGAGGACTAGATGGAACTTGAAGACCAAGAATGGAGAAATTTGAAGTCTGCTAAAATAGTGGGTGGTAGTTGAAGCTGGGAGAATTAATATTCTCTGAGAGTACGTTAGTGTACATTAATGGTGGAAGGGACAAAAATTAGTAGGAGTGGCCAATTGACATCAAAAGGGACAATTTTACATTAAAGCAAAAAGTACTTTTTGGGAGTAGAATTGATGTTAATGGTCTTTGCTCTCTTTTGTTGATTGCCAAGGGCAGGTTTGTTCTGTAGGCAAAATGTTAGGAATAGCATCTGATGGCAATCATATGTATCCAGTAAGAAAATAAGATATGAGCGGAATGAAATGTAGCTGTTCAGGGAATCGTCTATATGCTTTTATCACTACCAAGAAACTATTTAAAAAGCTACATGTTTATTAAAATTATAATATTAAGCCTTGTGAATGAAAGGCTATTGGGGGCAAGTCAAGTAATAGAGAACTTTGTATTTTAAAATGTATAATGCACATGCTTTTGACAAAAATTTTTTATTTTAAATCTCAAACTTATAGTTTGAAGGAATAGTAATATAAGTAATAGATTTGACATTCATAATTATTGGGGTATTTAGAATGGGTGATTTTTAGTTGGAATCAAAGATTAAGATTAGCCATTTATTGATCTGTCAATTGTTTATTGGTCCTCTGTTACTAGTGGTAGTAGAAAAAAAATTTATAAAATGCTTGCCTTCAGAGAGAAAGGCACTGGCTTCTAAAGTAGAATCACAACTTCCATGCATAATGACAGTGTATCTCCTCTCAAATTGCTCCAAAACAGAACAAGAAACATTCAAGTTGTCTTTGATGAAGGTAGCAGACATCTGTAACCCATGGTGTATGAAAATGGAAAGTAGATGAAGGACTGGTAGATAACTTAGCAGAGTAGAGGACAAAGCCAATGAAAAGCTAACCATTTCAGTATCCTGTCCCCACTCCAATTCTAGATAGCCTTAGGTATGGGACATATACTTTCTGGGGAAGCAACAATGAAGAGGGATGGAAAACCGGGACTTTGTTTGATGTCTATGTAAGAAACAACCTCTAGTCCCTGCCTCCATCTGGTTCAGTCAGGCAGCTGCCCTTCCCCATCCCAGCAGGAAACGGGATGTGTGGTGTCTCCAGAAATAGAATCAGTGAGACTCTGTACTTGGGGACACCAGTCCCAGAGAAGGGAAAGAATGAGGCATGAAACTGAAAATAGGAGGATTAAATGAAAGTATGTACACTGAATACAACCCTGTCCTGCATCCAGCCCCAGAGGACTGGGCAGCCAGGCTTATGTGGGATAAGAATCTGAATGCCCTAGAGAAAGACCCATTGGTACTGACATCTGGGCATTTCTACTAGAAGGTCTTGCCATACAGTGAGGTTCACCATTCCAAAACCCCACAACAACCCAAGAGAGCTTTAAATCAGTCTTTTTAGTACCTCATTTTAAAATATGAATAGGCAGCCCAGGATTACTTAACATTTGAGGAAAGAGAGTTATCAAATAGAAAAAGGAACATGAGACTGTACAAAACTCAAAAGAAAAAGTCAAAGAAATCTGAAAGAAGAACAAAGGTAAAGATAGATAATAGGAGAGAAATAAGAAAATTAGATCTCCAACAAGGAAGTCCAGCATCTAAGAGAGAAATAATAGAATAGAAAAGCAGTGGAAAAAATGTACAAAAAAATAATATGATGAAATGTGTCATAACCACTTGATCCATAACCAGTTGATCCTAGGTTGTGAGATTTTTGTTTGCAGGTAACCTAGCGTTTGTGCTTCAGGTTTTATCCACTTGATGTATTCACTCTGATGGCTGAAGTAAAGAAGTACTCAAGTGAAAAGGCAGGAAGGACATAGGGCTCTAAGGATGCCCTCGTCGTTCATGATGGAAACATTTGCTTTAAAGTCATGGCAAATTAGAGATGTTTTAGTTGTGTTTTTTTGTTGTTTTGTTTTATTTGAAGTTTTTTTCCTGCTTTCCCTGTCTCCACACCTCCTGATATTAACACACTGCTTTGCAGTATTTGCTTTACATTTTCTACAATACTTCCTTACTTCTTGGAAATCTCCAGATGATGACAGTGAAGAAGAGGAATGTTTATGCTGCCCCAAGCACTGTGCTAGTTTCTTTACATATATTATTTTCACCCTTTAAGGAAGTAGTGGGTGGCATTCCCATTTCATAAATGAGAAAGTGGGGCTTAGGGAGTTTTAAATGATGTTTATAAGATGATATTGCTTGTAAGGGTATAAACTAGTCAGGTCTGATTCCTGGCTCTGATTTTTTTCTGTATCATATCACTTTGCCCTTCTTGCCATGAAATAATTCTCAAAGCACATGTGCTTTTATTCAGACTGTGAGGTGTGCCAAGGGTCTTTTTTAAAGGTATACATGCCTCTCTTCTCTTCTTTAAAAGAGGTCCTTTTATAAATAGTATTCATTCAAAAATATATGTATTTTTTTTATATATTACATATATATTATATATAATGCATTTATGTAGTACCAGGTGTAGTGTATTAATAAGTGCTTAGATTTTCAGATTCTTCAGATGTTCTAGGCAGATGTCCAGAGTAACACCAGGGAGAAGAAGCCATGAGGAGAGCTTAGCTTCTGCCTAAACTGGAAAAAGATTATAAAAGGATGCCTTAGTGATTGCTAGGAATTAAAAACAAAAGTTACTTATTGACATATATAATGTCCTAGTAAGTTACTAATTTATCTTAATACAGATTTATGGCATTTATAATTTCTCTAGTCTCTGGAAAGTTATAAAAGAACAGATTTATAGTGTGTTAAATTTCTTCCTTCCAGACTAGTTGTTTTGTAACACTTCACATGATATGCTTTGACTTCCTTTCTAAGACCCTCATATCAATTCGAGGAAGCTCTGGTTTAGGGTGCCTTGGTCTCAGTCCCAATTTCAAAGTCTTGTGTGCTTGAGAAATAACTTTTTTATGAGGATTTTCATTTTCCCTTTCCCTTAGTCATATTCAACTGGATGCTAGTATATTACTTAAAATTTTGGTGGAGACTTTTGGAAGTTATTTTTATATTTGAACAATTGCAACAGTGTTGCTATTCAGATGCCTTAGCTCCTAAAATAATATTTATGTTTTTTGAAATAAGTGCACATGATGTATAATAAATAGTTTTAATTTAGGAGTTGACTATGATAGTTTGTAGACAATATATGTGCAGATGTGCTTTGGTTTATGTAAACAGATAGTCCTTAAAGGCATACTAATAAGTTAAATTGCATAAAAAGTTCCAAATACATTAAGATTTTAAATATAAAGAAATTCATAAGGGATAGAAAAATAAAGGCATTTATTTTTATAATCTTGGGGAGATTTTCTAAGTATTATATGAAATCTAGAAGCATTAAAGAAAGAGATTGATAGGGCCGACCCCATGGCTCACTCAGGAGAATGCGGTGCTGGGAGCGCCAAGGCCGTGGGTTCGGATCCTATATAGGGATGGCTGGTGCGCTCACTGGCTGAGCGTGTGCGGGCGACACCAAGTCAAGGGTTACGATCCCCTTACCGGTCACAAAAAAAGAAAAAAAAAAAGAAAAGAGATTGATAGACTATTTGTATTTGATCAAAGATACCATGAGCAAAGTGAAAAGACAATTGACAGACTGGGAAAAGCAGTTTTAATAAAATAGAAAGATTAATATAAAAACTCCAATAAATTAATAAATAAATGAATAAACAGGAGAAATATGAGTAAAGAAAATAAACAAAGCTCAGAAAACAAATACAGATGGCTAATAACATGCAAAACTAATTTGTTTCAATGTTTTGGGTGTTTATTTTTTCTCTCAACAGTTATGAATGCAGGAATGAGGAAATACTTCCTACAAGCCAATGATCAGCAGGACCTGGTGGAATGGGTAAATGTGTTGAACAAAGCTATAAAAATTACAGTAAGTAGTTGTATTTTTTTGAAAAATTTTCAATATCTGGAAGTAATCTTTACATTTTGAAAATATACCTACTGAATGTCCCCAGCTTACCAACAGTTTGCATACTCAAGCTTTGTTTAAAAGACAAGTGTTCAGAATGTGAATATATTTTCTTGTAACTGTTGACTGTCAGCCTTTTAATCAGCTCATGAAGGCCTTTTTTTTAACTCATTGTGTACCTAATAAGGATATATGTTATTGTAGATTTTTACCACTTCTTACAATAATGTTTCTAGGGGAAAAACATAGAGTTCTTCCTTGAGGGTACAAGAGTATAAAAGGTTTCCTGCCACCTACCCAGGTAATAGGAACAGGCTCTCCCTTCTTCTAAGCCATAACTGGGACTGGTGTTAAAGGGCAGGAATTGAAGATAGCAGTAGGACAAGGGGAGGCAGAGGGCTCAGAAATGAGGTACAGGGACAGGGTTTAGATCAGAACAGTTGTGATAGCCGGAGGGTCCTGCCCATGTGGCCCTTGGGGAGTTTGTCTCAGGTTCTAAACTTCTTCCTTCATCCCCCTTTTCCCCTTGAGTTCCAGGACTTAGTACCCTTACCCACCTTTCCAGTGCTGCAACTTCTTGCTTTCAACCTCGGCTTCTCTTCTTTTTTGGTTTTCTGATGAACATTAATATTTATTGATATTTTTATTGTACCAGGCCTTGGACTGAAGGTTTTACCTAAATTTCTGGAAAAATGAAGCTTAGAAGGATTGAGTGACCTTAAAGTTTCATAGCTGCTAAATTATGGAGCTGGGAGCCCAGTCCAGTGTTCTGAGCTCTGGAACCTGAAACTGAAGCACAGTTACTGCTTCCTGAACAAAGAGCCCTCTCCTTGCTCTTTGTTCCTAAAGCGAAGAAATCTTTTCTGAGTTTACTTCTGCTGCTGATGAGCAAGTTGGTGTGTTCTGTTCCCTGATTGTACCTTGCCTCGCCTTTTTCCCCTTCCATACTTGTAGGGAAACACATAGTAGCCCCACCTGGAAAGGAGCTCCTATGTGAGGTTTGTGTCAATTGAAGTGTGTTTTTTACTTAAGTGCGATTATTTACTGACCCTAAATGACTTACTCCAAGGAACATGTGCTCTGAAAGTCAGCATATGCTAGTCACTTGTTAGTTTTCATCTAAGATGAATGATTCCATATTTATATCACAACACAAGAAAGAGTTAATAGCTTAAGCTGTTCTCAGAGTTAAGTCTAATTTTTTGTCTTGCACCAGAACAGCTTGTTACCACATGACAGAAAACGCCCACGCACTGCATCTGATCTGTACATGAAGCAGAAGTTATTTTAGGTTTGTGCAGTTTCAAGAAAGCAATTTTTTGAACTGATTCAGAAGTACATATTCTTAAAAGGTTTTAACTGATTACTTTTAACTCTTTTAATAAATATTCCCTACTTGGAAAATTTCTTTAAAAAGACAATATCTAATAACTTCACTGAATTAATTCTTTTTTTATAATTTGCAGTAATAAGCAGCAATTGTTTCTTAGTGCTTTAAGAGAAAAAGTAGTGAAATGGTCTGAGGCTTTTTACCATTTTGGGGGGTTCTTGAACTACTATGTCCAATTTATTAATGGTATGAAACAACCTAATACAAATGACACTGTTAAGCTTTTTAGTGAAAAGGAAAAGCAGTTAGGGACTGGGTAATGTTTTAAAGCGTGTGGACTTTTAAATACCTTTTGTGGTCTTGTAGCTTTATTTTACATGTTGAGATTCTTATAGTTTTTAAGATAAATCTGTTGGTAAATGATTTTCATGTTTTTATAATTCACATTTAGAAATTAATGCATGTAAGATAGAAATCCTTAGCTTGTCAGTAAAGTGATTATAATTACATTAAAGTGAATATAGAATTGATAGCATCTACTAAAAATCAACTGTAGATAAGTACACATTTAACTCATAGGATAGCAATGGAAGACTTTCCCGTGTTTTAATAAGATACGTTTTATGTTAATTTTATTCTTCAAAAAAATCTTACCAGTTTTAATTTCATATGCATTTTGCACATTGAAGTGTATTAGTGTGTGAAATCTAATATGTAATACTTTCCTATGGAAATTGCTGATTATTTACATGTAGGTTCTTTGAAAAATTAAAGTTTACAGTTTAATACATGTGCAGTTTACCTTCCTATGGAATCACTCTAAATGACATTTTGGTCAACTATGTAATTTAGTGGTCTGCTGCGTACTATGTGACATATAAACTTAAAATTTTTTGGAAATCCAAAATTAGGGTTTGGAAGTGTGTGGTTTCAATATACAGGTGGTTAGAAGGTAGTGGGAAAAGAATGATTATTTAACTACTTCCTAATTATAATACCTTGCCATTGTAATGCACTATCTATCCTTCAACAACATAGTCTGGGACTTTCTTTACTTTTCTTAAGTCTGTGTGGTTGTCATTTGAAATTCTTTTTCCATTATTTAAAAAAAAGAACAAGAGCCAAAAGCAATAGTACAGGAACCACCCCTGAAGGGAATATCAATGACTAGAGTTTGGAAAATTGAATTTTAAAGTATGCTTTCAACTAACTATTCATTTATATTAATAACAGTATAAATATTCTGGTGTTTGATCCCTTACTGATTATTAAAGAATGTCCAAGATGTGTATGCTTTATTCCTAAATGGAAATCCATTATTTTTTAAAAATAAGTGTTTTTTTCCACTGTAGATTTTAATTTAAAAATCAATGTTAGATTTCAGTCAAAAATTAGGCTTTTGAAGTTGTGGCAAAAACACCACAAATTTGTTTTTTTTTTTTTTTTAAAGTGGCAACTGGGAGCAAGTAGAAGAATAAGCTGAATACAGGATTTTGGTCCTAACAAAATGGTCTGTGTGCCCAGAAGTGTTAAGCCTTCCACTTTGTACTAGTATTTTTCAACCAGCAGGTCAGGTTAGAGCCCTCAGAAAGATCATAAGACCCAGGAGTTTGTGTCTGAACATTTTATTTTATCTTCTTCTTATCTTTTTAAGTTTAAAGGAATTTATTAATTTTTTAATGGAAACATTGATTGTACATATTTATGGGGTACAGAGTTATAGTTCAATACATGTACACCATGTGTGATTGTCAAATCAGGGTAGTTAGCATATTCATTGTGTAAATTTATCATTTCTTTGTGATGAGAACATTTGAGCTCCTCTCTTCTGTCCATTTGAGAACATACAATAAGTTGTTAATTATAGATGTGTAGTACTACTGTACACCACTAGAACTAATTTCTCTTGTCTAGCTGTAATTTTGTGTCCATTAACCAACCTCTACTTATCCCACGTCCTCTGACCCCTCCCTTTCCCAGCTTCTGATAACCACAATTCTGTCCTCTACTTCTAAAAGTTCAACTTATTTTTTTTCAGCTCCCATACATGAGTGAGAACATGCATCATTTATCTTTCTGTGCCTGACATTTCATTTAACATAATGTCTTTTGGGCTCATCCATTTTTGCCACAAATAACAGGATTTCATTCTTTTTTGTGGTTGAGTAGTATTCTGTCATGTTTATTTACCACATTTTCTTTATCCATTTATCTGTTGATGGACACCTTGGTTGATTCCATATTTTAGCTATTGTGAATAGTGTTGCAATAAACATGGGAGTATAGATATCTCTTCAGTATGCTGATTTTCTTTTCTTTGCATAAATACCCAGCAGTGGGATTGCTGGAACTATATGGTAGTTCTATTTGTAGTTTTTTTTGAGGAACCTGCACACAGTTTTCCATAATGGCTGTATTAATTTACATTACCACCAACAGTGTATGAGAGTTCTCTTTTCTCTGCATCCTTGTCAGCATTTGTTATTTTTTGTCTTTTTGATAATAGCCATTGTAACCGGTGTGAGATGATATCTCGCTGTGGTTTTGATTTGTATTTTCTTGACAATTAGTGATATTGAACAATTTGTTCATATACTTATTGGCCATTTGCATGTCTTCTTTTGAAAAATGTCTATTTAGCTCATTTGCCCACTTTTAAAATCAGATTATTATTATTATTTGCTGTTTAAGTTCCTTGTATATTCTGGATATTAATCCCTTATTGGATGAATAGTTTGCAAATACATTCTCCCATTCTGCTGGTTGCCTCTTTGCTCTGTTGATTGTATCTTTTGCTGTGCTGAAGCTTTTTTGTTTGATGTCATCCCATATGTCGTTTTTTTTTTTTTTTTTTTTTTTTTTT